CGATGCCCTTTGCTCCTTTTAGCGTCAACCGACGGGTTGGCACTCCACAAGATGAGGCCCAAGTGAAGAAGCTCCTGGACGAGAACCAGCGCCTGAAGCAGACGCCACAGGCAGAGGTTAAACATATGCCCGCATGACTCAGCCTAGAGCACGGGAATTGCCCCACAAGTGTCTTGCTTGGCCCAAGCTTCACTCCGGGAAGTGCCTCGCCCTTCGACAGGGCTCGGACCAGAAGCAGACGCAAAAGCACGCGGACCTGGCGATCCACTTGTGCGAGCAATACCGTTTTGGTCTTGAAGCCTTGGTGTTGGAGGTGGGGATGGTGGAGCCGGGCCGGCGACTTGACAGACCTTCCGCCATCTGCAGATGAAGGACTTTGTCAAACAAGAGTATTCCCACAGAACCAGCCAGTCCTTCTATTCGATGGACAGTGACTTAGGCTCAGGTGCTTCAGCCAGTGTTGCAGTTGTGGCCGTGGCAGGTGGAGAAGCGGGACCAAGTTGGGAACACTTCCAAGTGCCTTGGCTGGACCAATCCGACAACCCAGTGAGACACCATAGGCTCTGCAAGCGGCTCGGGTGTCCTATAGGTACTGAGTAGTCCCCGCCTATTCGGTCATGAAGCTCAAAGTCCTAGAGGAAGGCTTCATGACCTCTACCACATACCTGCTACTCGACGTTTTATTCATATAGCTCGTTTGCTTTGGAGAACATGGGAGTTCAATAGTTCATTATGAACATGTTAAAACACATTGAATGTTGTTTCATAGCTTCTTGTTCCTAGTAGTCCGGCCAGGAGCTCCTAGTAGCGATGCCAGGAGCCCCTAGTAACGTCCTTGTTCCTAGTAGCGATGCCGGGGAAGCAATGCTGAAGTTTCCTCACCATAGGCCTATCCGTCCGTTTCCTCTCTGAGCTGGGCAGTTCTGGGATCCTACACGAGAAGAAGTTGCGTTGGAAACTGCAGAATGTGCATTGCCTTTTTTCCCCACCTGCCAGGTGAGGGTTGTTAGATTTTATCACAGTTGTTCTTCCTCCGCCTCCGCCTCCGCCTCCGCCGCCTCCTCGTCCTCCTCCTTCCTCCTTCCTCCTTGCTTCCTTCCTCGCCAATCTGCTTCGCCGATCTTGTCTGGCCAGCTCCGGATCGCAGTGTGCACCCCTGGACCTCAACCGCAAGGATCCCCTCGCAGTGTGCACCCCTGGACCTCAACCGCAAGGATCCCCTCGCAGTGTGCACCCCTGGACCTCAACCGCAAGGATCCGATCGCAGTGTGCATCCCTGGACCTCAACCGCAAGGATCCGATCGCAGTGTGCACCGCTGGACCTCAACCGCAAGGATCCGATCGCAGTGTGCACCGCTGGACCTCAACCAGATAGTTTGCCAGATAAAATCCACAAACACACAATCACAAACACACGACCACAAACGCGCAACCACAAACCCACAACCACAAACACAATCACAAACCCACAATCGCAAACACAATCACAAACACACAACTACAAACACAACTACAAAGACACAATCACAAACACATAACCACAAACACAAAACTACAAACACACAATCACAAACACATAACCACAAACACAAAATCACAAACACACAATCACAAACACAATCACAAACACGCAACTACAAACACAATCACAAACACACAACCACACACATACACACAACACACAACCACAAACACACAACCACAAGCACACAACCACAAACACACAACCACAAACACACAACCACAAACACACAAACACACAAACACAAACACACAACCACAAACGCACAAACACACAACCACAAACACACAACCACAAACACACAACCACAGCCACAAGTACAAACACACAATCACAAAGACACAACCACAACTACAAACACATAATCACAAAGACACAACCACAACCACAACTACAAACACAGAATCACAACCACTACCACTACCACAAACACAACCACAAACACATCCACAAACACACAACCACAAACACAACTACAAACACGCAATCACAAAGACACAATCACAACCACAACTACAAACACACAATCACAAAGACACAACCGCAACCACGACCACAACTACAAACACACAATCACAACCACTACCACACCCACTACCACAAACACACAACCACAAACACACAAACACAAACACAACCACAACCACAACACAGCACACAACCACAGCACACAACCCGAGGACCCACAAGCAACATCGAGAACTACAATACTAACGACTATGGCAACATGCTCCTCACTATGGCATCAAGACAAATGATTGACATGTCATGGTGGGGATCACTCGAAGTAAAGTAATTTGATTCCCAGACAAATACAGTATATAGTTGCTTCTAGTTCATGCCGGGGCCCGATCCTGAAAAGTCTTTGCAAACTTGGAGCAGACCGAAAGAGACACACGCGGGGCATGAGGGATGAGGGTTGCCTTTTCCTTTGGGGTGGTGCCCATCGTTTCGGATCGCGTGATCAGTGTCGAATCAGCTTGACGAGGTCAGATGTGCCTAAGGCTGGGTTTCTTTTGGGTGGCCGACCATTACTACCACATGGCAGTCATGGATTTGCTTCAATACATGAGTTGTTCTCAAGGTTGACTTTGGGAGTGAAGACTCCTAGGTGATCATCAAACAATATTTGCACATACCAATACCATATATCTATGAATCTACGAGCAGTTTGAGAAACAACTCGGGCAACAGAGGTCCTTTATTTGGAAGGAGGCCTTGCCTTACAAGAAAGGGGTTGCAACCTCGACTTCTTCACAACAATAGAAATGCCTTCCAAAACAACAAGGTGAAA